TGTGCTCTCACTCATGGCACTCGCGTCTGCGGCTGCTGCGGGCCTCCTCGCGTCGTGGCAGCACCGCCGCATCTACCGCGTGTGGCGGCTGCGGCACCCCAGACGCGTGGCACAGCAGCGGCGGCTCATGTGGGGCTCTGCGGCGTCGAGCGTGGCACTGCTGCTGCTGCTGGTGAGCCCGGTGGGGTGCATGGCTCTGCACGAGGCTCGACACAATGATGCGCGGCGGCTTGACGACATTGCGGTGCGGGCGCTTGTGCTGAAGCAACGCTACGAGGCAGCAGCGACATCCGGGAGAAAGGAAGCGGGGGACGTCTACGATCGCTGTGAGAAGGACTGGGCTGCGCTCATGAAGGAGCGTGTGGCCATTGACGAGAATGTCTAATGTATCGGTCTCTCTTGGGATGCCTGTGTCTGTTGTTTCCCTTGCGGGTAGTGTAATTGTTACCCACGCACTCAAACCGTCTCTCTCTCTCTCTCTCTATCTATCTATCTATCTCTCTTGTCTATCTCACACTCACGTACTGCGATAACTGTAGAGGAAAGGCTTAAAAGAAAGAGAGGGGAAGATTCGCATCAAGGCAAACGAGTGCTAACGAGAGACACAGACACACACCTTACACGCCTACTGTTACACACGCCGTAAAAGCTTAACGTGCAAAACAGAACACAGAATCCATTGCGTGTGCGTGTGTGTTGTGTACACCATTACTTTCCCTTGCTCCTGATTATCTCATCTGCGTTGAGGTATTCGTCTCACTGTCGGTGTTTCTCTCTGTGGGTGTGGGGTGCCTTGCCTGTGTGGAGCTACACGTACACACAGAGACAGGGAGAAAGAGAGACAGACGTATCTGCAGCCACTACAGGGAGCGGGGAGAGAGAAGTGGTGCCGCTGTGTGATACCCAATCAACAGCAGCAGCAACAACAACAACTGCTGCTGCATACATACATACATACAAGAGAACACACCAAAATACATACGTCCTAGAAAGCGAAGAGGGAAGAGGAGAAGAAATAAAAAGCGACAAGAGCAGCTGATAATCAAGGAAGAGGCACATTGATTTTTTGGGGGGTTTTTTTTTTGATCTTCTGGTTCTTCTGCTTCCTCTTGAAGAAGCCGCACCAAACGGACTCGCCTCGTCTTCTTCAGTTGTTTACGTGGACAGACACCCGAGGTCCGTGTGGGTCGGGGGAGAGACTGTTGTCGGTTGAGCTTTGCCTCCTTGTCGGCTCGCCTGCCGCCCCGTCCTTCCCTGCTGCGTGTTGTGTTGCGTGTGCGGATGAACGACGAGAACCTTGTGCGGAGCCTCTCCTTCCTCCTCGCCCAGGTGGCGGCGGTGGAGGCGGCCACGGATGTCGAGCCCAGACCTGAGCAGCGGAGCAACGACGAGAACAGCAACAGGAGCATCACCATCACCCAGAATAATAATAACAACAACAAAGGCAGCAATGCCGGTCCGAAAAGTGCGAACAAGAACAGCAAGAGCGCAGTTTGGGATAAGAATAATAGCAGCAGCAGCAGCAGCAGCAACAGCCACAACAACAGTGCCGCCCAGCCCCGCTTGCCGTTTCTGTCGGCCTCATTCTTCTCGCTTGCGGCGGATGTTAACAGCGATGGGGCGGTGGATGGCGCACCGCTGCTCTTCGACATCCCGCACCGCGCGGAGGCCGCCACGATTGGCAGCGATGCGAATGCAGCCGCATCGGTTTCTCTGCCTCTCGGCTACCACGGCGGCACGAATGCTTTCACGCCAGAGGGGGTGGTGAAGACGCCATCGACGTCTCCGTACTCTGTGACGGCGGGACTCACGCCGTCAACGCACAGCTCGAGCGTGGTGCGGCCGTATATCCAGCAGTCCGCTACGGCAGCGGCGGCATCAGCCGGAGGAGGTGTCGGTACGCCCACCGCAAAGGCGAGTCCGTCAGTTACGCCTTTTTGGATGGGGCCTCATGGGTGTGGGCCCGTCAACAGTTCTGCTATTGGGGCGAAAAACAACAGCATCGATAATAACAGCAGCCGCAGCTTCAATGACCCTATGAACAGCCTTAACCTGGTACTCAATTTGTCGCCTGTCAATGCCCCCATCAATTCAGCAGCTGCAGCTACATCCCCACCCCACAGTAATGCCAACAACGGGATGGTCCTGAGTGGGGGCCCCTACACCCTGCAGCAGTATCATGTAGCAAGTGGTTTGCAGACTGGGATGCGAGGTGGAGGCGGCATCCCACAGCCGCAGCAACAAAAACAACAGCTGCCGTGTGTCGACAGGTATGAGTCTCCCTCCGAGTCTCTTCGTGATACCACACTGATGCCACCACCGCTGCCATCCTCACACCTTGTGGGATGCCAAGGCATGATGATGACTTCTATTCCTGCGACTGGCAACAATAACAGCAACAGTAGTGGCAATGGTGGCCACCACAGTGCGTGGATGATCTCTGATGAGCATCAGGGTAGCTTGAAGTCTTCGCTACCCCCAAGTGGGGGGGAGGTCACGGGCGTTTTCCGTCCAGACAGCAGCGCCGCGTCGGCGCGGCGCCACCTGCCATACAGTTACCGCCAAGCACACCTCTCTCCCGTGACTTCACTGGCGTCAAGCGGTGCCGGTGATGCCTACCACGCGCCCATGGCACTGCCGGATAGGCATCAGAGTCCGGTGGCCAGCGGCGCACCGCTGCGCTCGCCTGAACTGTCGTCGTCGACGACGTCGCGGGCGTCGTTCCAACTTGCATTGCACCGTGGCTCCGTGGTAAAAATGGTGAGCGACCAGCAAGGCTGTCGTGCACTGCAGTCCGTGCTTGAGCACTACCCGTACCACACGCAGGAAGTGCAGTGCATCGTGTCAGAGCTGCTCCCTGTGCTGCCACAGGTTATGACGAACCCGTACGGCAACTTTCTTGTGCAGAAGCTTCTGGAGATTGCGCCGGATGAGGAGCGGCTGCGGCTGTTGGCGCAGCACCTCTCGGGGTCGCTCTGTGAGGTGGCCGTATCGCCGCACGGGAACTACGCGGTGCAGAAGCTGATTGACTCGCTGCGGTCGCGCCGGGAGGTGGAGGTTGTGTGCACTGCACTGCAACGTGGTGTGCTAATGCTGATGAATGATCTCAACGGCGGGCATGTGGTGCAAAAACTNCTCCAGTGCCTGCAGCCAAGTGAGGTGGTGTTTTTGTACGATGCCATTGTGGAGAGGACGCTGGATGTCTGCAACGACAAGCAGGGATGCTGCGTGGTGCAGAAGTGCATGGACCGCGCTCCTCCAGACCAACTACTTCGGTTAAAACAGGCGGTGCTGCATCACATGTTGCCGCTTTCCATGAGTCCGTTCGGCAACTATGTGGTGGCACACCTCATCATACACTGTGATGGGCTGAGGCAGCAGGATGTGGTGGATGAGGCGGCCCTACGTGCAGGACCCGCGCTGGAGCTGCTCTGCACCAACAAATTTGCCTCCAATGTGGTGGAGAACATTGTGCGTCTGTGCAGTGAGCATGCCAAGGTGGAGTTGTGTCGTATTCTGCTCCAGGGGTCGAATGATAAGATGTCACTTGTCTTTGGCAGCAACGGTCCACATAACCGCCACCATCAACAACAACAACAGCAGCAGCAGCAACAGTCATCATCACGTCAAGCGCTGCATAATGGCTCTTCAGTGCTCGCAAACATTGTGCTTGACCCGTACGGCAACTACGTGGTGCAAACTATGCTTTCTGTTTTGCCTGTCGGTCCGGAGCTGGTGCAGCTGCTGCGCCAGCTGCAGCGATACCTTCCGGCGCTAATGGAGGCGAATTTCGGGAAGCGTGTGGCGGCTAAGATGGAGCAGGCCAGGGCACGGGTGACGCAGTGCTGCCCACCGAAGGCCCTCATCTCTGATGACGAGGGCAACAGCAGTGCTGGTATGTTTGCGCGTGTTGACACGGCGGCGTACACACAACACCACCACCACCGTGCAACGGCGATGGTGGGGGCAGACTCCGCCACGCCGCAGTCACAGCCGACCGCGGCGACGACGCTGTTGCTTTCACGCGATAGTGGCACAAGTGCTGGTGAAAATGGCAGCCCTGCTTCTTGCTTTGGTTCGCCATCAACTGCCCACGTCTCGTCAATGCCGCCGCATGGCCAACAGCCACAGCAGCGACTTGATTTTTATCACCCCAAGCAGCAGCAGCAGCAGCAGCAACACCACGGTGGCCGGTACAGGGGCCGGCGGGACGTCCGGGCAAAGTGAGTAAAGGCGGGGCTGGGCCTCCTCCCCCCTCCCCTCCCGGTGTTGCGGTTAAAAGGAAAAAGATGGTTTAAGAAATAGAGGGAGGACAGAACGAAGGGAGAGGAGGTCATGAAACACACTTGATTGAGAAGTGTAACTCTTGTCTTCTCTACACCCATCTCAGACGTTCTTTTTTTTTTTTT